GGAGTTTCTCGGGCTCTAGTCGTAGAATTTGTTTGTTGTACTTTCCACTAAATTTCCAGTAAAGCGGGAGCATTGCAAAACATGTATGGAATCCAGGTAACGTTTCAAACTTAGCAGTACAGGACGTAACCATACCACCTCTAGCCTAGGGCGGTCCAGTCATTATGAATCCATCGCAGGTCAGACACCGGAGGACGCCACATAGCCCTTCAGTGCCCATTGTGGCTATATGTGATGCTGCCTGGAAGCAGCCCATGTTCAATGGACGACCACCATTGTTTCTACACTCATTGTTTGGCCCAAAATTCCCCTGAGTTTGTGAGTGGATTACGTGACCTGCTTATGCATTACTATCCACAGGAACTGGTTATATTTTCGCTAGTAACACTGCTTAGTGACGTACTATGTCGGTGGTTAGATGCATCTTTGGAAACATCATCACTGTAGTTGACTGTAGCGTAAACAACGATCGCGAATAGACGTTTTCCAGCACTGTCCATTTTTATAAGCTTAATTGCTTTGTCAAGCGAGCTGCACTCAGAAGGCTGTTCACGAGAATCTAACCACACAACAAGGATGCGTTTGGTGAGCACGATGTGGTGGTACTCGTTTCAGAACAATCTTCGGAGCCACGGATGTGTGTGTGCATCCAACAGCGGGAAAATAGGCTGACCAAAGCTAGTTCAACAACGCATAAGGATGGTTTCCTAGCTGCGCGTCACACCCCAGCTTACATGGTGTTCAGTGTGCCTACAGTTGAGTACCATCAGTTTGTCTGCCTGTGTTTCTGTATAGACGTTGAACCCCATGCGGATACAAACTTCTGCGGTTGCCTGAGCTGTCATGCCTTATTCTGTGAAAGACAAGCGGAGCGTTATTTATGAGTGAGACGTGAGTGAACCAGATAAAATAAAAAATAAATCGCTAGCTGTATGTCATAACGATGCTTCGCTGCCACGCGACCACCACTAGTCGCGCGTGGGCTGAGTCTACCGCGAGGACGCCCACCCCTACGCGGATTCGAACCGGTGACCTTATGGTTGTAAACCAGACGCGCAGACCAAGTCAACGAGTCAACGAAGGTAGACCAAAAGGACATGCAGTCCAGTACGCTGCCACGCCATCTGAAGCTAATTGCAATTTGATCAATTTGAGACCACGGATGTGTTGGCGAAGGGGGATGCCATGTGGCGGAACGCTTTTTCGTACGCCTGAAGTTAGTGTTCGAGAGAAGCAGGTGGTTGTCTTCGCACAATGTGAGAAGCCTCTCTCCGTTATCAGAGCGGTTCCCATCGAGCGCGTGATGATCACCAAGACGGCGTTTGTATGGTAACAGGCGGCCAACCCGTGCATTAAAACCCCCAGCAAGGACAACGGCATCCGATTTTTTAGCATTAGTCAAGAGCTGATGTAGATCCCGGTAGAATTCGTGTTTGACCGAGTCGCCACTGTAGTCATTTGGAGCGTACACGGAGATCACAAACAAGTTGCGTCTGTCTTCGCGGTGCTTGTTGCATCTACATGAACCCCGAAGCCGAACTGCACATAGTCGGCTGTTAATCGGGAACCAGTCCAGTAGTGCCGCCTCGGCCTTGCCACTTAGTGCTATACCTACACCAGCCAAACCCGCGGAGGCTGTTTCTGGATCTCCAGAAAGACGCAGGTGATATCTGGCTTCGTGGTCAGTGGGGGGATGTCAATGTAAGCACAGTGCTGGGATCTTGCAATCGGGTTTCTGAAAGGCAGCAGACATCAATGTCTAGGGACTCTAGGTTGCGCGCTAGACCGGCTTGCTGTCCAATCTGCATGAGTGTCCGAGCGTTGAAGCACACCAGACGGAACGAGGATCGGTGACGAAGGAGAGCCATAGGTTGAACTCCTTGGTCCGCAGCGCAACCGGAATCGCAGGTAGATTGTTGAGTACATGAATCGAGTAACGGAAGATGAGGATTGTTAGCAACCAACTAATTGGCGTGTGATGAAGTCGGGTGAATGTGAGAAGCAGAAACAGTAGCTGATGAGCACGTTGTAGTACAGTCCATGGTTTTGTGAGAGGTCGTGATACTACCCGGTTGCCCAAGCCGAAGTAGTGAGTTGACTTAGTGGGCTCCCCCCCTCGAGCCTTTGGCTAACCTTCCCGCACAGTTGCGAAACTTGCCACAGAAGACCCACAAACTTATAGCGGCTGGTTACGTTGGACCATCGCTGCCTTCCCAGCTTAACTCATGTCTACTTGAAACACTGCGCAAGCAATGAGCGTGCTCGACGCTTCATATTTTCTGGAGGAAGGGCAAGTGAACCGCGCATCAACGTTTTATCACCCACCAGGGTCCGATGACTGGGCCTTGTGTTGCGCATGTCAATACATCGACTTTCTCGACGTGCGTTGTTTGCACTCCGGGGGTTTTGGTGGGCGCAGAGGAGACCAGGCGATGACTTGGTCCAGGAGAATGAAGTCCCTCACTACGAAGTTGACGTCGGTTGGTGTGTCCCGACTCCCTGGCTGGGGTCCGGAGGACAATGAACACTTCTGGTTGGACAAACGTTTTGACCTAATTTAGACCCGACCTCAATGGCTTCCGTGTTGTGAGTTTCTTTGCCCTCCCTCCCATCCCGCTTATCTTCCACCTCCAACCACAATTGTCTTGAGACATAAACAGTATTTTACCTACTTTTTTATTCTATTATGTTTAGCATCTCGTTTTTTCTTTTATGTCATCTTTTTGTGTTGCAGCACAATAGTTGAAGTGTGCATCTCACCATCAACTAATGTGCAATGACGATGATGACTGAACTCTCCTGCTTATCGATCACCCTTTTTCACTAATCTGTTTACGCGTTTCCGATGCTTTTCACTGTTTTTCATCCGTTTTCACTATTTACCTTTTAAGATATTTTGTTTCTTCTTTTGCATATTATTTGCCATAAAGTTTATCTAAAGTGTGCACTCATCACCGATTCTGTGGTCTTTCGGTGTTTTCCCGCCTGTCTTCCCTTATTGTTCTTTTTGCGGACTCATTCCAACCTTTTCAACAAACAAGCCATAACTCTTCAGAACTAACTTTATAGTCCAGAAAATGCTTTTAGAAGCACCGATGGATTACTTCTAAACATGCTATTTAAACTCTTGCTAGCTACCCTGCAATCGGATTTTCAAGCCCTCGCGTGCTGACGATTTCCGTAACTCCGTCCACGTGTTGTATTTTGAATACTACATCGGATGCACACCGGATAACGAATTCAGGACTGTATAACCTCCATTTATTCACTAGGTATTAGATCCCGGCTGCCCTAGCACTTCTATGCTATTCTGTGTGTTCTATTCAAGTGGAATTAGCCAGGATACATGCAGCTTTCTTCCTACCACATGCTTATCCAGCTAAACTGTAGAAACCCTTTGCTCATTGCTAACACGTTTCTTAGAGGGTAACTTCTTTTTATGCGTTGGAGGACTTGCCGCATATTTCGCTTATTAGATGTAGGTCTATCGAGGCTGATATCTTTGAGGATGTGAGTTTCACACCCAAGACAGTGGGTAAACTGATGATAGCTAGGTGTGTGTGTATGAAGACAGTCCTCAACTCGGTCTGTTTCTGGCCTGTATGTTGAAGAGGTGCTGGCTTTTTATGCTCGTATCGACCAGTTGTGGTTCCATTAAAATGATTATCTCCCGCAGATTTATCAGTGTCTTTATATTCTTAGACTTCTACGTCTAAATTTTGTGAGTGGTTTCAAGATGTTATGGCGCTATCATTTTACTCTCACATGTTTGTAACATCTTCAGTAATCTGTTCCGTATTTTTTAGTTTTGTTAATGCCTCCTATTACCTGGCTTCTTCAGCTGGGCTACACCTTTAGTACACTACTGTGTATTATAGAAATTTGTTGACTTCATTTGAAAAGACCACAAGCTTGTCTTGTAATCCGAAGGTCGCGGGTTCTAGTCTGTATAGGGGACCTGGCGACTCTCGCAGTATCCTTGGCCCATGCACGACCGGTGTCAATTGCTTGGCATCGCAGCGTCGATAATACATACCGACCTACTGCTGACGCTTTTTTTAAGCGTTTTAGTGCATATATCGATTATTCTTTCATGTGTCGATGTACAAAAACTGTTAGTCCTCTCTGAGCATACGCAATTACCTTTTTATTTTCAGACTGTTCACTGCATCCTGATCTCATCCTACCGCACTTGTCGTGCATGCTTGTCGATCAGACCGAAGTCATCCTTGTGCTGTCTTCCCTACTCGAGTGATCTTTGTATTATTAGTCGGCGGTCTGTTTTTTGCCATTTTGTATTGGTTGTATGGGTGCTGGGACTGCATTTGTTCGAGGGCATATGACATACTTCAACTTCATCTGACACGTTTCCCGTTCATTCTTACTTTTGCACTCATAACAGTTGTACCCGTCACACTTCGACGTTTAGTAATCTCACAGTCTAGCAACTAGACATAGAGCCAATAAAGCCATGGAGATCAGTGGATAGGAGACAGTCATTGCGTCATAATCATCGTGGCATGGTAGTTGAAGGTGGGCAACACACTTTAGCTAATATGCCGCAGGAAGAATGGAACATTTTGACAAAACGTAGAACAACACATTTTTAGTTTGTTTGCCACACGCCATTTTTTCTTTTTTTTGTCATTTTCAATATTGGTAGTATTAAACATGTGAATCAATACAATACTGTCCACAATTCTTCCACTGATTCCGGTTGCGGGCCATGTCTTCAAGAGTGCTAAGCCATTGGCACTCCTCATCTTTGGGTCCCCATCCTGGAAGACGTACGGGTCCAACAGCGGCTAGACACGACGTCAGCGATTTCATGTGCTGCCGCCAAGTGGAAGGCTGACCACCACGCGGTCGCTTCCAGCCAGGTCCTTGATGACTTCGACGTTTAGTTATTGTTAAACTCTGTGATCCATCCCATGTTGCCTTTTATCTGCGCGAACCCCTTTTGCACACCAACTCATCCATTTTTCTTCGTTGTTTCGCAGCTGTTTGATGTGTCGTACCAACGCTGAACTTCGGGCTCAGGCAGGTGGTTGGCCTGGCAAGGATGCTGGCAGTCGTCTGCAGCTAATCGATCGAATTCAAACATTTGTGCCAGCGAAAACTATGCTGCCTCCTCGCCGACTGGAGGAATTGATCGAAGAATCGATTCGCGCCGAACTGAGCAGCTGCATCTTTCACAATCCACCAGTCGGATCCGGCACCGATTTGCACGATATTTCGCTTCTTCAACGACATTCTTGTGGCATGTATGTCTCTTAATCCTGTTCTCATTATCGTTACTCTTATGCGTTTTCCGAGGATCACGGTGGCCTGCTGTTAGCAGCCAGTTGGTCTTTTCTATTTTGGCGTTTCGGGTTATTCCCGTTCTATCACCGCTTTCATACTCTACATCTTGCACCGCTTAGTGACCCCGCTTATTTACATCAGATATAGGCCAGTGGCGGACTCCTAAATCGTAAATCATGGGTCACATCTTGCAGTTGCTTAAATGTCCACCGATTCGTTCGACTAACTGTCATAATTGCTGCCAACACCGTGCGTCATACAGACCAATCCTGTTTTGCTAAGGCTTCCGAAAACGGATATGGTTATTGTGGCAGGGGCTTTCAACTTGCATGTTGGTCGTTTGATGCCAAACGAACGCTCTCTCGGAGGTCCGCATGGATATGACAACACTGGCCGATATAATGGAGAGACTGCTCAGTTTGTGTGACAGCCACCGACATTTCCACTCTAGCACGAACTTCCGCTACCATTGGCGCTAATGAGGTACTTACTGGGCACCATCATCCTCCCAGTGATGGTCCCAGGTTGACCACATTGCCATCAGTCATGGATGACATCGTAGTATCCTAGATGACAAATCTTTTTGACCAACTTGCGTCGAATCTGATCATGCGCTGGTGCGTGCGATGATTTGCCTGCGTTTCGGTGAAATTGTTTAAACACTGGTAAATTTGAAAGATTTCGCTGTAGAAGTGGAGTACTAACGGAGATTTAGTGGTCATCTCACTTTTCTCCCTTCTCGAGATGTCGACCAGCATTAGTTACGCTTGCAGCAAATTATGTTTTCTGCGGTTCTGTCCAGCTGCGATCTTATTCGTTGCACAGCTGAAATTTCGATCTCAGTAACATCCTCGGAATTGCTTGACCGTCAACAAGTTGCACCCATCGGTGTGGAGCGTGATGAACTTCGGTCGATTTCTCAACAACCGAAAGCAGTTATTCGCCGTGACCCTAAATGCTGGTGGTCTACGAGGTGTATCAAAACGGTTCCACGACTGGTGTCACAAAAGATTCATTACAAACCCAACCTTCACATTAAGAGTTTTCCCCTTCAGAATAGCCCCCGTGGAGTCTAATGCATTTTCCAGTTCTTCTCTGCCACAAAGTACGCCGACCCATCGCAATGAGACTGAACCATAACGTGGTGCGATGGTTTGCGTACCCCTGTGACCCATTGAGCTACACTGGGTGGCACTTTCAATTGCCTTCGGAGCCACTCATACCAGACAGGTCGATGGTTAGAGGTCAGACTGACTCAGTCTCACAATCGCCCCGCTGCCTTGCGGGCAGGCTCGGGGTGGAGTCCCCTAAGATAACTTTCTAATTCGGCTCGACCAACCGGGTTATGTCATCCCAATTGAAAAAAGTGTAGCGTTTATCAGCTTTATTGCGCTCAGCTGCTTTTGCTCCTGCTAGTCATACATTTTCATACGTCACCTGTTTATTTCTTACCATTCACTGTTATCCGCTACCAGCTGATTCATGTTTCTATGATTCTATCCCCGATGGTTTCGTCGACACCCAGAAAGCTCGCCCAGTCGCACTCATTCGGCTTCGGTTCTCGTTCCGTGTGGGATGCTTCAGTGTACGTACACTCATGCAGATCGGGCAGCAAGCTGGTCTTGCGCGCCCCTTGGAATCCCTCCCCATGGAAACGCGCTTACAAGATCCCAATACTGTGATTGAGTTGAGATCTCCCACCGATCATGGAGCCATATTTCACCTACGTCTATCTGGTGACACAGAAGCAGCTGCGGCAGGCTTGACTGGCGTTGGTGTAGCGATAAGTAGTAAAGTTGAGGCCGCACTGCTGGACTAGCTCCTGATTAATAGCTGATTGTGTACAGTTCGACTTCGGGGACCATGCAAGATAAACAGATGTCGTGAGGAGAGACGCAACTTGTTTATGGTCTCAGCTTACGCTCTAGCTGACTACAGTTCCGATTCAGTCAGATGATTTCTACAGTAAACTTTATCAGCTCTTGAGCAGAGCCTGCAAATTCGACATCGTTGTCTTTGCTGGGGATCTCAACGCACGGGTCAGTCGTCTGTTACCATACGAAACTCACCCAGATAGTCACTGTGCGCTCGGTGAGAGTCGCTCAGATAATAGCGAGAAACTTCTCACAATGTGTGAAGATAACCATCTTTCTCTCGAGCACCTGCAGATCGCGTGTGCTCTGAATTGTCTGTGTGTTGAAGTTCGTCGCGTTCTGTGCGTCTGGCCCAGGCGGGGCAGATCTAAGCGGCTAGATCGTTCAGGCGGCAAGCAGAGCGACTGAGCGATTCGGACACAAAGCGTACGATAGCTACTTTGATGAACGGTCCACAGCTGTGGTTGCTGATTCATCGGATGAAACCTGTAGTTGGCTTTCGTTTGAGACCACAAATATTTCTGCGTGGTTCGTGATTCGGAAAATTCCTAGATTGTGTTTTTGCGGGAATGACGCAAAACCGCAATGTGGAGTTAAAAGACGATCCACACAAACTAGATCCGAAAGATGGTGTGCACTAGATAGTGCAGATGAATCTGGGTCGAATGAGTGTGAACATACGTTTGTGTGAGGAAATTCAACTGAGAACCTTGACAAAACAGCGTGTTCACAGATGATCGATTGAAACGTAGGTTCGTTCAAGGTCTTTCGGATCGGGTTACAATGTGGTATGAGCGTCTATGCAGGTGTAAAAGCACCGTTCAGCATATGTCAGTGGATCGCTTAGGCACTCAAACGCACAACGTTAAGGTCCAGTTTCGTCGCGATGACACTCGCGCAGTCTGAATCGAAATGATGCCAGACAACAGCGTACTGGTGATTAGAATGCTCGGATATATTCGGTGCAGACACAAGGACCACGTCTGGACTGATAGTGCAACACTGAAGTGCGTTGCACAGAAAGCGCTGGAGCAATGCAGTCACATAAAGGCCGCACCATACTGAACGGTAAAACTCCATAGGCTGGTAACTCAAGCCATGTGCAATAACGGCGCTTGTGTTTTGGTAAGAGACCTCCACTTGAAGAGGTGAAGAGGAGGATTGTCTCGAGAATTTCGATTGGTGCAATGTGAACATGGTGTATTACGGGTAAAAATGCAATGAACGGAAATAATTTAGAAAAGTGAAAATGGAGATGAAATGAAACGCATTTCGGTGGACTCACCATGGTTTTCGCATTGAGGCATGCGATATATTCGCATGATGATAGGTATAAATCCAGTGTGTTTGAATTTTGGAATCTTCGTTCTGCAGTTGGGAGAGAAAATCGTCAACGGAAAGCTGTCGGAATCCCAGCCATTCACAGGGTAGAATCCATCGAAAAAAGCGCGGGGAATACAAGTGGACGGTGAGGGTCAATTGAACTAGGAATGAAAATGTCCGTACCATTGATCCAAACGTCTCCGTAAGTTGGTGATTGACAAACAACCCGCTTCACAAATAGTCTCACTGACACCAGGCTTTTTTGCCAGTTGATCGAATGAGTTGGGAGAGGTTAAGCGTATTGCCATACAGAGTAGCGGCTTCCATTTAAGAAGCAGGCGGAGACGATCAGGCTTCGCGATCACTGCGTAGACTTTGTTTGAGCCGCCGATTAACAGAACATCTCACTTTATCATGATTAGACTCCGCTGGAATATTTGTGCGGTGGTCTAACAGACCCAGGGAGCAGGTGGAAATCCAGACTTTCATAGGGTGCGAAGTTAGACCACAGCGTGATCGTACGGAAGATATCATCGTCTTCTGCATGACCCCCAGTGTTGATCAGTGTTGCACTTGATCGCAGCTCAAAGCGTCTACCATTGAAGGCTGATAGCTCAACTGAATCCAGGGAATAGTTAGTCTATTTCTATCTAACTTACAGTGCTTCGTTTTCGGAGACCTTACGAAACTGATGCAGATGTCCGCACGGACTAGAGCATGGTCGGAGTCAGGAAATGTGAACTTGCTTAATCTGAAGTCCCGTACAGTATTCCGCCATCTGAAACCGCTTACGATGTGAAGAAGTTGAGACCGCTTTTGCATTGGTGAAGGAACACGCTGAGTAGCGGAACGTCTGGTAGGCCTGAATTTTGTGCTCGAGGGAAACGGACCCCTATCTTCACACCGAGTGTGAAGTCTCCGTTATCTGGGCGGCTCTCATCGAGCGCATGATTACCACCGAGATGAAGTCCAAATGGTATTAGGCGACCGACCCGTGCGTTGAAATCCTCGGCGAGATCAACAGTATCGGATTTGCAGACTGATCAAGAGCTGGTGAAGTTTACGATAAAATTGCCGTTGACCGCCTCACAACTGTATTCAGTTTGAGCCTACGCGGAGATATCAAACAAGTTACACCACTCCTCACGACGTCCGCTGTTAATCGGAAATCAGCCTAGCAGTGCGGCCTCGGCCTCCCTACTTTGCGTTGCACCATTGCCAACCAAATCTGTTGCGACTGCTTCCGTCCCGCCAGGTAAACGCAGTTAGGGGGTGTTAACTTAATCACAGTACTGGAAGCTTGTAGTTGAGTTTCACAAAGACGGAAAACATAGTTGGCGAGGGATTCCATGTTACGTGCGAGACCAGCCTGTTGACTGATCTGCATGGGTGAAAGTACATTGAAGCATGCCACGCAGAACTAGTACCGGTGCCGAAGGAGGGTCACTGACCAAGCTCTGTTGACTTTGACCAAATCATCAGGTATCGGCTGATAACGGACAACGGTGATTAGTAACCGATGAACGATTCATGGTTTTGTCAATTGGCATGGTATTACCCCGTTGCCCAAGCCGAACTAGGGCGTTGTTTTAGAGTACACTACGAATGAATGTTTGGTAATAGCTCTTCTGTTGCCTCGTTGGAATGCCTGTTAACCTCGAGTTAGCTTCGCCTTCGTTGACTCTGTCATGTGCTTGGCATACTAACGGACCGACTGTCGGTGTGTGTATCGTACGTAGTTGGGTGAAATCCCGAGCTGGTCATCCGATAACCTGACATGGGTATGAAGAAACCCACCGAAACGCTGAGTTGGAGACTGTCGTCTTCTCGAATGGAATCAGTAACACCTGTGTTTGGATACTCTATCGGATTTGACGCAGGCACGAAAATAACTGTGCTGTTGCATTCGTGACCTTATCTCCATTTCATGTCTATTTCGTTCGATACTTTTAATTCGTGACCATTCCACTTGCAGTCAGTAATATTATTTACTTAACAACTTGTGTTGTGTTATATGGATCCACCGCGTCTCCGTGCACGGATCAAGACTGAGAAAGGAAACGGAACTGAGTCACTCCGACCTCCGTTCTAACCTGCTCTTCTTTGTGTTGGCTCGATCGCTGTTTTTCATTTGCAAGCAGCACCATCATTCGTTTTAATCGCACCCCACCAGCTGCGAGCCCATTCGGACTACACCGACATGTAGAGACAACTCTTGGTACTATCTATAGATGTTACGCATATCTTCCATCCGACCAGCGATTGTGCTCCTGTGTGTAAATCTATCGGAAGCTAACATAGCTAACACACATGTTTAGTTTGAATTTTCTGCCGTGTTTACGAGACGTTGTAAGCTAGTCAAATTTCCCCCAAGTTTATACTTCATAATCATGCTGATTCAAAAATCAGCAGCCTTTTGAATTTGGCACTCCGAATAGCTTTTACTCTAACATGATGGTTACTGCTTTTCGCCCATTCCATCGGACCGGTATTCCGGTGGGGGGGGGTGCTGGTGGTATTTTCAGGTCGCTTAGATTGCCGATTTACGTTTCCTGCCTTAAAACAGACACAGGGTATACCGCTTCTCTTGAGTTAAGGATCAGATCAGACCACGATTCGATTGTTGGAAATTTACCACTTCTCCACTATCAATTCATCACTAGTAATTACTTACTCTCGGATTTGCTCACAATCGCTTCACTGCTTTTTTCGTTCTCTTTCGAACAGGCGCGATTTTCCTGCATTTTGCATCCAAACGGTGCATCAGCGTGATGGGGAACTGTGGTTGTGCCAGTTTTCGCCTGACGGGTATTATCTGGCCGTCGGCGGCAAAGACGCCAATGTGGACGTATTACGAGTGGACGTGACTCGGCACACCGTATCGCGTTACCGTGTGTTGACCACCCCAAGTTACATCGGCTGTCTATGCTGGTCACCGGACTCAAAAAAGTATTGTAGCAGCTCTCGTTGCTTTTGTGCCTTGTGATTTGTTTTTGTCAATATTCTTGTTGGATGTCCCGCTATGGATTTGCTATATAACCTATTCGTAGCTTCATGGCTTTGTGAAGTATCTTCCATTTCATTCTGCTTCGTCGAGTTACCTCATTTATATCCATCCCCTTTTAAGCAAGCTGAATACGACACCATATCAGTCGCAACAGCTCTGTCTTCTGCAACGTTAATTCTAGTTCGCTTCATCAATCTTCCGCAACCAAATGCATTCCAACTTGGAAGCGATCGTAGATTGATGCTTGCGGTCTAGCTACTTTTCTTGCTGATTTTGTTAAACTATTTTCCTCGGCCTGTATTTTAGCAATATCGTTGCATGTATAACTAACTCATCCGGTGGTTTGCACTCGATTGTTCATCCTCTTAGTCCATGCCACGTTGTTTTAACATTCTTCTCTCAGATTGGCCGCGTGTTGTGGAGAGGAACAGAGTTCAGTGTGCGTTTTCGACATGACCAGCGGTCAACAGTTGTGTAGCGTAAAGGTGAACGACGAGGACACTTACACAACGGCCGCATTTTTCGCTGATAGTTGTAAACTCGCCTTCGGTGGCCTGAAGGGTGTGTTTTACGTTATGGTACGTGTTTCTTTTCATCTCTTCAGTTAACTCATCTCTGGAATCAGAAGGTTGCTAATTAAATACCAACGTTGACCTCATCAGAGGGTACATGTTGGCGATGAATTCCACTGGCGAGCACCGGTGGGTGACCCCATTCACAACCCCCTAACCCCATTCACTCTGGGACATCAATTTCGTCTCTGCATTCCTCATTCACTATCATTCTACACGTAAGCTAGAGAAAAGAACACCTCGACTATTGTTCCACAATCAGTGCATCCACCTTTCTTTTGGTCTAGCTGCGGATTGATCTACTAAGTATCCCTGTTGGCCAGACCTGCGATTTTTCTACCATGTTGACAGAAATGTTCCACTTATCCACACCCATCATTTTTGAATGGAATTGCGACGTCTCACTTAAATTCCACCCTAGCTTCAATCTTTTTATTTCACCTATATCAAATACTTCCAGTTCTCGTTTCGACTCGGTTTGCTGCACTTTATAGTTGATTTGCCTGCCTTTCAGCACCACCATCAATATGAACCCAGTTCGTTTAACCCCCTCGTCCACCTTTTTCCCAACTCGGGTAATTATGCACTCTCCTTTGGCTTCAGGGCCGGGCACTTTGTACCTTACAGTGGCCTGCTTGTCCCATCTGTGCTCCGATACTCTCGTGATACATACGATCAAATTCCTCAGATAAAAAGCATGTTCCAAAATTTCTACCTGCCCTCCATTCTAACAAGAAAATTGTCAGCCGAAACTTGATCTCCCAACTTTGTCCTGAAACTAGTCAGGTCAACTAGTCAAACCGTTTAGGCCTATACCCTATTGATTTGAACTCGTTCTGCACCATGAACGCACTCGAATCGTCAGATGGCCGTTCTCCACTCTTTCGGGAGCTCATGCCTGGGCGTCTACGTTCTCTTAGTTCCTTTACTCTATTTGCCCACTTTATCTGCCGCGGAATATGTCAATATTTGAAATGTGGTGGGCACATGTGCGCACAGTAGCTTCTTTCACTGTTTGTCCTAATCCCGATCGCTGTGTATTGGAAATCTTCACCCACTTAATGACACTCTCCGATAATCAATAGGTATGTGGTCGTAATTTGCTTCATTGTAAAGGCATATATGTCGTTTTGGCTGCAGTTTCCGCTGCTGACGTGGATTGGGTCTCTTTGTTAGACCACAATACTCCGCCTCTGTTTTGAGTGTGTCTGCCTGTTCCGATGGCTGTCTTCGATTCTGGCACTGCTGTGTGGGTGATGCAGATACCAATTACTTTAGTTCTGGTGAATTCGTCTTCCATTCTTCTTCCTTTTTGTATATCTCTCGAATATGGATGAATTCGCGTCTCTTTTGTTAACCTTTAGAGGGCGCAGCAGGTGTGCATATCGTGTTGACTTTCGGTATACGTGGCTGTTTTCGTTAGCCGGAATTTGCCGGGGAATGGTTACCTCGTCTGATTGATTACTCCATTTTTTAATTGATGTTAACATGCCTTGTCCTCATGAGTGCTGGCCCTTGACCTTAACGACCACAAGCCTGCCTTGTAATCCGGAGGTCGCAGGGTTCGAGTCTGTATAAAGGAGCGGGTGACCTTCGCAGTATCCTTACCCCACGTGCGACTGGTGGTGGTTGCGCGGTAGCGAAGCGTCGGTTATCCATACCGGCCTACTGCGGATGCCTATCATATCTGTGCGATCGGATTGAGTGCCTATATGATATGCCCCATTCTTCGCAATCGTGGTCGAGGGACAGATAATTCGCTCAACTATTCGGGTGCATTATTAGCGCCTACACCGCCCCTCGTTCAGTTTGTTCTTCCTCCACCCAGTGGCTCCTAGTCGCTTTCGGTGGCTTTAAGCTCAATATGACTCGAAATACTGGTTCCTCAGCTGGAATTTTTTAGTGTTTGTTTTACCTCCTGTCTTACTTATAGCCACCTCATTACGTTTAACTTCATATTCTACGTGCAGCTAGCCTGGCCTTATTATGGTGAATAAGCATATCGTTTTAATTTCCGGACTGACCTGTCACTATCGCTGTGACTGGCAGCAGGTTGCGCCTACACAGAGGGACCAATAATGGTTTGCACTCACTGTTTCATCCACACACCCCATAACCAACGTAACTTCGGGAGGTACGTGCATGGGGCCACAGCTAGGTTGAATCTGGCCCACCCTCCTTCAAGTTGCGCATCAGTTGTATGAAATTGGCGGCGGGGACACAGGTATCAGGCGTCCACTGAGTGATGGATGAACCGAGAATTGCCACGATGACTGCACATTTTGTCCTCGACAGCAACGGTCCATAGTTTCTTGAGCTCAGCAGTTGATATGACCACTTCGAACAAGTGGGCACCCCGCGTGCACGCACATTGAACGCAGCCACGCTTGCCAATTCATTCATGGATATACACTGGGAGCTCGTTAGTCATTCAGTTGCAGTCGAACTTAGGCGACAAGGTGTAGCTTATTCTTCGTCAGATAGGACAACTGCACAATGAGAGTGCTGCCTTGAACTTGGGTGATTCACATTGTCATCGGCTGAGAGTTCACAAGTCAACTTAGAGTTGTCAGCCGAGCTGAACCTCTTGCCTGAACTTCGATTCTGTTCATGTATAATTTACCTCGGCTTGTGAGCTGGTGTTCTTCACAACTGACACACGGTAGGCACGATATCACACACAGCAGAGAAATGTATTATCCACAGCGATGCGGAACAAGGGGGTTGGCAAAACTCAAGAAGTAGAGGGAATACACACACACACACACACACCCGCGAAGCGCAGGGAAATAGTTGCGCATGGAGAAAGCGATGCACCTAGGTTACTTTCAAGGTCACGTCAGGGGAAACCGAGAGAAGGACCGGAGTCAAACAACACTAACTGTCCGTGTAATGCTCTGCGTTCCGTTGCTTTAAAGCGTTTCGTTATTCTACGGTTTCCAGTCACTCTAAAACAGGAAAAAAGAGTGTAATGTGTTAGTAGTGGTTGCGCGCCAGCGTAGCGTCGCTACTGCCTACCGGCGTACTGCTGATGCTTTTTTGGATGCGTCCGAAGCGGCGACAATCTGCATGTTTGATTTGAAGTGCGTCAAGTGTAGGTCCGAACCAAGTGCTGCCTCGACTATATTAAAGGATTTTTGTAATTCATTTATTCATCGCATTTCTTTCCTTTTCAACTCGTCCAGCATACTTCTAGTCTGATGAAGCCTTGGCAAATAGCACTACAATTGCTGACAAAACCAAGAAATGAGCGAAACTTGGCAACAAATTTTGGTGTGGACTGACATGTCTTAGTCACAGTAAGTAAACATATAACAGGGTCATCTGTCTGACAGCTTTTGTGTTAGCAGGATCCGGACGCCGATCATCTTTGTCAATGGCGAATCCCAGAAGTGTGACACTTTCCATAAGGAAATTGCATTTTTCTACCCTTGTGAAACCAGCTTCTTCAAGACGCGGGAGCACTCTCCCGTATCTAGTGGACCTGTATCCATTATCAAGACATCATCTAGATATACTGCAACTCCAGGAAGGTCGTTCACCAGCGTATCCATGATTAGTTTAGAATTGGCGGGCGCGGTTTTCACTCCGTATGGCAGCCGATTGTACTGGAAAAGCCCAAGATGCTCGTTGACTTTCCCTTAATTTTCTGCAATTTTCGGCACAACAGCGACACAGCCAGGTTGCGTTCAAGGTCACGTCAGGGGAATCGAGGGGTGGAGGAGAGTCAAACAACGCAAACTGTCCTTGCTGAGCTCGGCCTTCCGTTGCTTTAAAGCGTCGCCTTGTTGTACAGTTACCAGTGTAAAATGGGAAAAATGGCAACTAGATGTTACAAATGTACAGTTACTTGGGGTAGTCCTGCACTGTACTTTTTGAAATATTTATAAAATACTAAATAATTAACAGTATTCGTAACCACACATTATCTGGATAGCAATACCTTAATTTTACCGAAAGGAATTAGCTGAAAGCGCAATTGTAACCATCAACATTTTATTGATATTCTGATTAAATAAGAAAATGAGGCAATTCCACACCTGCTCTAGTCAGGATTTTTCAAACACCACGACCAAACAATTGACAAGCACTTGTTTTTATGTCTCTCAGAAACGGAATTTCTCTAGTATGTTTCTACTGGACAACTTTGGGGGCAATTACTATCTGATATGCAACAATCGATATGATTGCAAGATTCTTAACCACTCTTCTGCTTTTCCATGGAATGTTTTCTGAGCTAAACGTACGGACGGGGATGGTTTGTTTTGTTTGAAACATTTGTAGTCTTATTGAACACATGCACTTCATTTAACGGATTTCTTTGTTATCGTATGATTTTTGCTGCCTTTGCGAAGACATCACGAAGTCGTTGATCCATGGTACCTTTTTGACCATGTGAACTGTATGGTTCCTTTTTGTCCAGATCACTTCGATGCCTACGATCTTCCTTGTTTTTATGCAAACCGTGTTTCAGTGACTTTTTCGACTTTTGGTGCTACATTCGCTCCACACATTCCTGACCAGTTAGGCTTTCTCCGTAATATCTTTTAACTGCCTTTCCCTGAGTTTTAGGTTTGTTTTTGGAAATAGCGACAGTCTATCGAGAAAAAGTTCTCTAATAGAGTTTCTTCGATCGCACTGCTTCTCAGCATGAGGTTCTTTTCTGGATGTGGAAAGTAGAGATGAAGCTGATTCTGTCATCATTGTAGAATCGATTGACAGAATTGAAACGGCAGACTGATTCAATTCATTATCGTCTTGCCGTATGCCCCTACATTTGTGCGGCTTGTGCCGTGCGCTTTTGATGTTGCTTGAACGCTACCCACATATTCCGCAGATTCATGCACAGAGGATGGAATTTTAGAAGAGTCAAAGGGCTGATATCACATTCGCTGAATCCGAATTCAATATGTCCTTTGCTCAGACAATCACTTCCCATAACTTCTTCAGAATAATAGGAAATAGCTTTTGGGATAAGACTGTACTTAAGTTTTGTCTGTTAAATT